GCCGGTGGCGCGGGGTGCCTGAGACGCGGCCTGGGCGGGGCGAAGCGCGCGCGGGCGCGGCCGGTGCGGCTGGGGTGGGACGGAGGGCGCGGGCGCGGGCGCGTTGGGCGGAGCATGACCTCGCGCCGGAGCTCGCGGGCGCGGTTGTGGGCTGGCACGACGACGGGCGGCGGAACGCGGCTGCAGGCTGGCGCGGCGAGCAGCCCCGGCGAGCGAGCGCGAGCGGCCATGGCATGCTACGGCTGGCGCAGGGGCAGAGGACACTTTTTGGGGTTTGTTGCAGCGGTGGGCGCCTCGGACATAAGCCGGACACACATATTCTTTTTAACATCTATCGCCATCTCAAACGTACGAAATCCGGTACGTTCATTTTGGGTCATGTGGTGGAGTTGGTCTTATACTCGATCTTTCGTCGAGGCACGAGGCAAGAGGAGTCTTCGTGCCAAGCACTAGCACACTTGGAAAGCAGCCAGCCGGCCACCTGCATCAACCGACCTGCGTCCTCATCCACGCGGCGCGCTACGTGTAGCACATGAGGCTGCCCATGCACGACGACACGTGCAGCTTACTCCCCCTCCACCCGTCGATCGCCCCTTTTAACAGCACCTCGCCATCGTCTCACAGTACGGCTCGCATCGAGAGAGCAAGCCGGCGTGCAAGAAGACGCCGCTAAAGAAATCGTGCAAGCTAGCGGATGATGCGTCGCGGGGTTGCCACCATGGCGCCGCTGCTCATGCTGCTTCTCCTCCTCTCGGGGTGGTCGGCGATGGGTACGCCGCGTTTACGCGAGAGATGGGAGGAGGAGGGGGAGGGGGAGTGGCGGCCGGAGGAAGAGGCCAAGGGCGGCGGCGGAGGTGGCGGGGCTGGGAAAGGGCTGTTCTTGCTGGACAAGGTGGAGAAGGTGGTGGAGTCGGAAGGTGGGAGTGTGCACGTCGTACGCGGGCTGCCAGCGTCCGGCGTGCCGGAAGCACCGTGGCAGCATGGTGGGTGGTCCGCGGGCGCGGGGTGCGGAGCTTGCCGAGAGGGGCTCATGCACATCGGCTTCATAACCATGGAGCCCAAGACGCTGTTCGTGCCGCAGTACATAGACTCCAACCTCATACTCTTCGTGCAGCGAGGTACATACTGAATCGTACATAAATGTCATCATGGAACGTGAAAGTCTTGTTGAGTTTTAAGGCTGAAAATCACTCAATTTAGAATTGAGCACATGCACTTAATTTGTCTGAGCAGGGGATGTGAAGGTTGGATGGATCCACAAGGGCGGTCTCGTGGAGAAGCAGCTCAAGATGGGCGACGTCCTCCAGATGGACGCCGGCTCCACCTTCTACATGGTCAACACAGGCAAAGGCCAGAGGCTGCACATCATATGCAGTATCGACGCCTCGGATAGCGCAGGCTTCGCACCTTATCAGGTCATGCGTATGCCCTGTTTGTTTTGTAGTATCTGCAATCATTTAATTAATGGGATTTTGCCATTACTGATTATTAACATCTTCATCTCGACCCCACTACTGAATTATTGACGAATTGATGATACGATGCAGTCCTTCTATCTTGGTGGGGGAGGGAAACAGACGTCAGTGCTGGCCGGCTTCGAGCCAAAGATTCTTGTCACCGCTCTCAACGTGAGCTAGCTAATTCGTCTCAACATTTCATATTAATTAAGTACAGTAGTAGCAAATTCACACGCATGGCACCAGGATTATTTTGTTTCTCGTGTCTTGTGTTCAGACCACTTACGACGAATTGGCAAGAATCTTACCCGTGCGAACCGGGGGCCCTTTCGTGTCCTACACAACGGAGTCCGGGAGCGGTGGCAAAGAGCATGGACAGGGAGATGTGGGAGAAAATGGAAGGGAGAGCGAGCCATGGAGACCAGTGGGGAGAGGCGACGACGACGACGACGAACGCGGTAGCAGTAGCGGGCAATCCACTTGGACTTGGTCGTGGAGGAAACTGATGAGCAGGTTCATCGGAGTGGAGCTGAACAACAAGTCGGACAAGACTGTGCGCGCGCCGGAGCCTTACAACCTGTTCGATCACGAGCCCAGCTTCCGGAACACCTACGGCTGGAGCATCTCCGTCGACAAGCACGACTACGAGCCCTTGGACCACTCCGACATCGGCGTCTATCTCGTCAACCTCACCGCCGTACGTTTTTGCTCTTCTGAACCATCGATCAGCGTGGTAAAGATTTCAGACCTGCTGCGGCGAAGCTGATCGATGCATTGCTGCGTGTGGCATGGAATGTGCAGGGCTCGATGATGGCGCCACACGTGAACCCGAGGGCGACGGAGTACGGCGTGGTGCTCGCCGGGGAAGGCGTCATCCAGGTGGTCTTCCCGAACGGGTCTCTTGCGATGAGCGCGGTGGTGCGTGCCGGCGACGTGTTCTGGATCCCACGCCACTTCCCGTTCGTCCAGGTGGCGTCACGGGGCGGGCCGTTCGTGTTCTTCGGGTTCACCACGTCGGCGCGGCGGAACAAGCCGCAGTTCCTGACAGGCCCCACCTCTGTCTTCCGCATGATGCTCGGGCCGGAGCTCGCGGCCGGGTTGGGCGTCCCTGAGAATGAGAAGGAATTGAGGGAGGTGGTGGAGGCCCAGACGGTGGCGGTGATCGAGCCGCCGTTGCCGGAGAAGGAGAAGGGGCGGAAGGAGAGGGAACCGTTTGTTATGAAGCAAGTGGCGAGGGAGTGACCGCACGCGCGGCTAGCCATCTGCTTAATGCTTTATTGAGCGGATGATCGATCTTACCTGTGTTCTTCTGGTCGAAACTTCTGTACATCATGCGCGTGTTTGCGCCGTGTGTTTCAGTGTTTGTGTCGCTAGTGTGTGTGTGTGTTGTGTTCTAGTACGTGTTTGTTCATGTGAGTTCTGGCGTCGTCAATAAATAAAGATGCATGTCAAATTCAGCTGTGGGCTAGACATATAGTATAAAAACAATACATAAATCCAGTGAGTCTCTCTATCCATCAATTACAAGTTGCAAACAATGTACAACCTCGCCACCGAATCATTCATCACTACTGGATGCATGATGCCGATGCTCCTGTCCCAACCGATATGAAAGTAAGTCAAACCTCCCGCAACCGTTCGAGTTCGAGCGGCGGAAGTCATCCGACATGGCTTCGTGGTGCGGTTTGGACGCGTTTTCGTGGTGCGGTTTGGACGCGTTTTCTATTGCAAACCGAACGCGGGTTGGGACGCGTTTTCTATCGCAAACCGAACGCGGTCCTGTATCCCTTTGCGGGGCGGTCTGCCCGCGTTTTTTATCGCAAACCGAAAACAAAAGTGGGAAGGTTTGTGGAAGTTCGGACTGATCCCAAGTCCGCTCTGACCTGGCCCATCAAAAACCACTCTCCCCTTCCGCGCGTTATTGGCCGGCGCCGCTTTAGAGGGCCAGCGTCCGCATACATGCTCGGCCAACGCTCACTCGCATCGGCATTGGGCGAGAGAGCGTCGCCCGTGCTATTTCTCCGGTGCAGACGACTGTCGCGCGTTCAAATGACACGCCAGCAACCCGTCCGCTCGTCTGCCGCCCGCATTGTTGGCATGCGGTTACCGAGGCGTCACCTTGGAGGCCATCCGTCCGTCCACTGGTGCCATATATAAACCGGTGCCCCGGTCATAGCCTATCAACCCAATCCACACCACTCGCTGCCATGGATCACTCCGCCGCCAAAGCTCTAGGATGGGCTGAGTCGGAGCAGAACAAGGCCATGGGCGCCATTGCTGCGGACTAGAAAGCCGGCAGGCAAACGGAGGACGAGCAAATGAATGACGCCTCCGACGACGAGACATCGCCACCCTCCTCTACCTCCACGGCACCCTCCTCCTCCGCTTCATCCTAACTGGTGCATTGCACCATGACCATCGACGAGGCCCGTGCCCATTATATGGACATGATGCGGGAGGAGCAGTTCCGACAGACGCATGTCGACGCCAACTACAACACATAACCTTCTTCAGGAGCATCTGCAGACGGAGGAGCAGGCCGCCGTCGGCAGGGCGGTCACGGCGGATGCGAACTTGGCGAAGTAGGAGGTGCTGCTCGAGTCCGCTCCTCAGCGCCACAACCATGAAAAAACCGATGACGGTACCGGCAGCGGGTGGCGGAGGTGGCAGCCGCCGGCAAGGAGTGTAACGACGGGCTGGCAAGGCGTTGTTCGGCAAGACCAGCGGGGAGGAAATTGCCGAGACCGCGCCCCGACGCCACAACCCCTAAAAAGACGTCACGTTTGCAGGCGCCGCCGGCAGCGAGGAAGAGTAGTGCACGGTAAGTCGTCATCGCTCATGTCCCAGGAAGGCCACCGCTCCTCCCCTCCCATCGACGCCAAGCTTGGTGGGATGAGCATCTTTGACCGATTAGTCGCTTGGCGGCGACGTGGAGGCGGATAGCTTCAGTTCCCGGGGCTTCGGAGGCGGAGCTGGAGAGTGCCGAGGTGGAATTGGAGAGGGCGAAGTTTCAGTTCCCGGGGTTGATTGTTGGACACGGGGACCGGACCCCAGCGATAATTTAGATTAGGTATTAACTATACTCAAGAGCCCGCCTAGCACTGGTTTGCTATATTTGTGATGATATCCATTGTGTTTATATGAAATCCGGCCGTATTTGAACGAATTTTGTCCAGTTAGTTAAAATTGTTGTTAAAATGTAGGCGGGTACGATTGGATGGCTGCCTCTCGCATCCGCGTCCATGAACTGATCCCCTCTTCAGGGACGGATGCAGGAGGATTTTTGCGTGGTAATATAACCAGGAGTCATAGAACTCGCGTTCGATGTTCAGTTTGATACTAAAACTTTAAAAATACGGATTTATGATCATCTAACTTGACCACCTGTGCAAATACGGTCAGAAAAAAGGATGCAAACATATCAGGGTGCATGGCCCCATCAGTCAGTGGTGGCGCTCGGCTTACTTGTTTTTGCACGAAACACCCTCAAATAATTTTTTTATTTGCGGAGAAAGCCGATCACTGTACTTAAATGACATTTATTTTTGCACGAAACACCCTCACAAGGAGTCATAGTACTACATGTATTAAACGTGAAGCTTAAATGACATTTATTTTTTCGCATCTATGAGCAGTGAGTCCCGCGTTTTATTACACAGCGAAAATTAACAGGAAAAAGTGTGGCCGCCAGCTTTCAAACCAACAACCAAAGAGTAGAACACAAGATGTTCTAGCCTCTACAACCTGCACGTGTACACACGTACTCCTTCTGTACCGAAATATTTATAGTTGGAGGGAGGGGGGGGGTGGTGGGGCACTTGTACTAGTTTCTCCTAGCTATGAGTGTTTCGGTACAGAGGTAGTACAACGAATAACTAGTCTTAATGTACTAGAAATTTGTAGATAGTATGTAAATTATAATTTCAGTCATTAATATAACATGCAAATATTCACGTGTTATAAATATCGTACATACAAAAGAAATAGACTACTTTTAAATTTGTCCATGTATTACTTTAAAATTATTCATATATTTCTCATATTTATGAAATATAAAAATGTTGTGTCATTTAAAATAACACAATTATTTCCAAAATTACAGTTAAAATATTATTTTAATAATACAAACATTTCAGTAACTGTTCACACATTTGTATAGTTCAATATTTGTAAAAATAAGAATATTCATAATTCAAAATGTAAAGTGTTGATATGAATATTCAATCATGTCTAATATTTAAATTAGACCATTATTTGAATATAAGTCATGAGTAAAAATTACACACAAGTGAATATTCATAAATATTTAGTAAATGTTTGAATTCATCATTCCGCATAATTTAAATACAATCCATGACAAATATTCTTTTGGATTCATTAAACATATTTTTTAATAAACATTTTCAAAGTTGGTATTAACTAAGTGTTTTTTATATATAATACACATGTTTATATTAAACATTTTTATTTACTAATGATCGTTTTTAGGTATTATATTTTTAGAACACAACTTTATTAAATATATTTAACAAATATCTTGAAAAAAATCACTTGCACCTTGGGCTGCACTATGGGCAGCCCATTTAAGCTCCACATGTGTACATGTTCAGTACCTTTCTTAGCATCCGATAAGTTGATATGTGGATTGGCTAGAGTGCTGATGGATTATGGATGGGCTTAGGCCCATATAAGACACTAATCCCTGGTTAATCTTGAGGCCTATGTATGAGATGGCAGGTGATGGGAAGTTTAGTCCCATCTTGCTAGTTGAGGAGAGTTGAGACCCCTTTATAAGGGCTGCTCTACCACTTGCCATTGGAAACTTTGGAAGAGGAGTGGTACACACACGCTTCTCCTCCTCTGTCGCCCGCCTCGCCATGCCTCGTCCCGATGCGCGCGCCGCAGGTTGCGGGTTGCGGGAATGAGCTGAGCCGAAGCTTATTTTTGCCGCTCAGGAACGAAGTCAACCCTGCCGTTCGAGATCCTACCCAGGAGAACAACAATAAGGTTTTGGGGGAGCGTCTTGGCGCGTCCGCTCCCGATCCGTCCCCAGCTCCGTCAGCCTCTGCTTCCACTACTTCCCCTGCACCAACACCATGGTCGTCGCCGCCGCCGCCAAGAAGAAGGCCATGGACGAAGCCGAGGCTGCTGCTGCTGCCGCCGCGTTGGCCTGGCCAACCGGAGGGTATGATCTATTCATCCCTCATTTACTCATGTTTGTGCTAGTCATATATGTACTACTCATAGATGGTTTGCTTCTATGTTCTGTACGTGCTAGTATGCTTAGGAATCGGTATGAGGTGTATACCGTATTTGCCATGATGGATTAGTCTAATTGGAAAAGTGATAATGTTTCCAACAAGTGCCTCGCCTTATATACGTGTGTCTGGGGTTCGAGACATCTATGCCTCTTTTTTGGATTCTCGTATATAAACTTCACCATGAATACATATAGGTTTGCTATATCCAAGCCTGACAGTGACATGCGCACATGAAGGATGTTTTGGTTAGAGTGGCTTGTGTCATAAACGGTGGCAGCATGTTCAAGATCCGGCAGCATCACTCACTACATGTGAGGTCATACTCCTGCATAAGTATTTTGTGACTGTATTTGCACGCGATGTCAAGTTTTTTTTCTCGAATACGCACGAGTGTGCTTATCATGCATTAAAGGAGGGGGAAAGCTCCCCAAAGTCACAATTTTACATCATATGTACAAGCAGTCAAGCCGCATCCATCTCACATTCGTAGGCTAACTACTCCCTCGCTGTCCACTCCACGTTCCCCACCTCGAAACCTCGAATTGTGCCCTTGTGCAGCCCTACCTTTGTCCACAAGGTCCCTTCTTCTGTCATGTGCTGCGTGAGAATTGCCAGCGATGGTGTCACGCCGTTGAAGACGATGTCATTCCGATGTTTCCAGATGAGCCACATGCCAAGGAGGCTCAATGGTCGAATGTTCCTCGTGCCCTGCCTGCTCCGATCCTGCCTGGTGCACCAAGCCTGTAGGCTCTCTTCATGCCTTGGTTCGAAGGCATCCCTGCCCGTTCTGACACTCAGCCATCTCCATACCTGTCTCGCAAAAACGCAACCAACCAGTAGGTGCTGGATTGTTTCGTCATGTTGGTTGCAGAACGGGCAGGTATCCTGGTGCGGTAGGCCGCGTCATGCTAGTCTGTCCGAGGTCCACACCCGTCCCTGTAGGGCAAGCCAGGCGAAAAAACGGCACTTGAGCGGGGCTCT